CCCCGCCAACCCTGCGATCCCGGCCGCCCCCTTCTCTTCTCCCCCCCCCTTCCTCGGGTGGCGGGGGTTGATCGTCTCCAAAATTAGGCTTTAAAATCTGGAGGGGTGGTTGGGGTTTAATCCGTGGGGGAGGCTTGGGAAGAAGGTGGGTCTGCGGGTTTGCCCGGAATAAACCCCTCGGAGTTGGGTCTCCTGGGATGGGGCTTGAGCCACGTCTAGATGGCCTCTGCTTGCCTGTTCCTTCTTGGGGAGGGAGGGAAGGAGGAATGGATGGTGGCTGCTCCCAAGTTTGGTTAGTGCGAGCTGCAAGAACCACTGGCCTCTTTGCAGCCGCCTTCGGAATCCTCCCCTTCCAGGAAGCCCAAGGAACCGATTCCCACAAGACACGTGTTTCGGCTGCTCTATAAATTCCTCTTCCCCCCCTCTTGTCACCGGCCTCTAACTCAGAACTTCCTCTACGGGATCTCTTCTTCTTCCCCCCTCTGTAATTAAGAGATCCATTCTCTCTTCTTCCTGAAAGAATTGGCCTGTTGAATCGAGCCCTGGCTTGTTGACCTGTGGTTTATGGATCACAGTTCCTCAGCTAAGCACAGTTGCCTTTTCCTTTACTTCACTTTAAATTTAATTTAAATCTGATCAGAGCCCCGGAAAGTAATTCAAGGGTCGAACAGTCTGATCTATCTTTTTTTTGGAACCCATGCTTAATGGTAAATGCTGTGCTTTTGAAATGGAATGCCAGTCCCATTTCTTTTACATATTCTGAATAGAAGTTGTCATTTCTGGAATTCCCAAATTTGTACTTTATGTGATACTCAGGGTTGTGCAAGTCCCATTTAAGTTTATTATTATTGCATCAAATTAGCTTGGGTATACAGCTCAAACCTTTGATGAGTTCCTTGAATAGCAATGTTTAGATACTTCCTGTAGCCTCATTGTTTTTACAATAAAGCTATTCCTCTGATAAAAAATTGAGACTAGTTTTTCAGCCGTCTGCAAATTGAATTTAAGAGATATTTTTATTTCCATGTATAGAGATAGGCGTTTTGAATTGTTTCTAAGAAGATGCATATATAAAATTACACTTCTTCAGATTTCCCCCCAATTCATGATTTACTCAAAGATGATCTCATGTATTCACTTTCAAGAGGCTCTTAAAACACTGAAATTTAGCCCATATTTATTCAAAGTAAACCCAGTTGAAATCGGTGAAGTTGGCTCCTCAGTATGAATGCAGTTCAAAACGTTAACAAGCAAACAGCTCTGGATTGATTAACATTACTGCAAAAATATAATATTACTAAGAGTACTTAATAGTTACTCAGTAATTAATCTAAGTAAAATTTGACAATACTTTGATGACATTTTTCTCCATAAGTTACTAATTTTGTGATGACATATCCTTGTCCATCCATTTACTGTGTGTTTTGATTTAATAAAATGTCATTCTCCCACATCTTTCCACTTTGTGAGTGCAGTATGCCACTGGGTTATGGTTGGCTGGTCTGGTTGATTTCCCTTCCCTGCCTGCCTGACCTGGCCTCCCTCCAGCTGGTCATAAACGTTTTTGAGACTTAGCTGGCACCCTGCTCATTCCTTTTTCTTCTTCTTTTTTCTGCATTTGCTCATGGGCTGTTACTCAAAACCACCCCTTATCCTAGCCAGAAAACAGGAAAGAACAGTAAGGCACCCCTTCATTTCAATAGGTGCAGTGTAACCATAGGAGACAGGAGAAGGGATGAATCCAACCAAAGGAAAACTTCCTGCTCTGCAGCTTCAGAGGAAATGCTGCAGAATTGCAGCGTTCCCGCCCCCCCTTGAAACGGGAGTTGAGCCAATTCATCTCTGAAGTCAGTTGGCTCAGTTTGTGAAACCTGCCAGAATAACCAGTGTGTCATGGGGACATGCTGACATCAGTGGAGGGTATACTTACAGAATCTATAGTACTTTGCATTTTATTAGAATTCCAAGATCCAACAAGATAGGCATTTAAAATATAATGTACATCGTCCTTCCACATGAAAAATGATTAGCACTTTAATTTGAGTGCCTCCAGGCAAAAAGCTGAGGATGTTATATAAAGTTATATTAAAAACAACATGGTGGGATGGGAAAAGTCATTGCAATTCTGAAGTAGTTAAGAGGAAGAAATCCTGGCATATCTATTCAAATATCGAAGATACAAATATATACCCAGCATTGCTATACCACCATTTTATATATTCCTGCACTAGGAGAGGCTTGGAATTCCATTGCTAGCCATTTTCTCCAGCGTGTCAAAAGGAGAATATAACAGAGAAACTAGTATTACAAAATCGCTTAGCAATTAAGTCTAAAAATTACATTGATAAATCCATGGTCAATATTGACTTCATTCCCACATAACTCTTTCAAAACCATGCACATTTGAGCAAGCCATATTATCATGAACAGCAGTGAGTTAATGTTAGGTCTATAGCCACTTACAAAGTTACTTTCAAATAATGCTTGATTATAAACCTTGATTTGGAAGAAGCAGCCAATTTGGATTTAACAAAAGACCAAAAATCTTCCTTTATGGTCCCCAAATAGAAAAGTAGACTTGAAAATTTTTAAGATTTGGATAGTAAGTAGTTCATTGTTGGCTCAGTACCTGTGTTTTTAAAAGTTATTAACTTAAATTTAGGCTGCACTGCTGAGACAAACAAAAAATAAATAGCGCACCTGTTCTATACTGATTTCTGACATGTTCCAAGTACAGTATTAAGAATGAATAGTTTCGTGAATTCCAGTATTGAGATAATGAGATACAGACTGCAGGAAATATGACTTCAGCAACAGAGTGGTCAATGTCTGGAATACTCTACCTGACTCTGGTTTCTTCCCCAAAGCCCAAAAACTTTAACTTTAGACTGTCTACTATTGACCTCACCCCTTTCCTAAGAGGTCTGTAGGGGCGTGCATAAGTGCACCAACGTGCCTACCGTCCCTGTCCTATTGTTTCTTTTTATTTTTCTTATCTGTATCCATTTCATGTATTCATAACTATGTTTATACTTATACCTGTTATAATTGCTTGACAAAATAAATAAATAAAAATATATGATCCTTGTTTACCGACTGCTATGTACTGCCATGGATATTGGTTGAAGTTCCCATTTCCGTTCATATTCTTGCCAGATTCTCTCAGACACCAGAAAGGGCTACAAAATAAACAAGTTAATAAATAAACAAAAGATATATAAATACATTCTAAATCAAGCAATTATCACGAGTAAAAAAATCTTTACAATTGGTTGCTATGGTGTTAATACTGCATTGCTCTAACAGTTTGGCAAAGTAATTCTCTTCTAAGTGCCCCCTCCCGTTACTTTTTATAGCCTTCAGGGAAACCTAATTTTAATAAATGAGAAAATTAGCTATTAATCACTTTAGGAAGAGGAACTAGGGCCAAAGTGGATTTTGAACATAGGAAATATTTGCCGCTTGTTCTTTGGAATTTAGCATACCTTTGGAGTAAGAGAGATGAATATTCAAATGGCCATAATAAACATTTAAGAATTTCTTCTCGTAAATAAGCATGCCAGTATTCCCAAGTTTTTACAACTGGTACCTGACTTATTACAAACCAGCGCAAATAAAAATATTTTGGATTCCTGAAAGCTGTCAAGGGCAATATGCAAAGGAATGACAGTATTCCCCATTGTTACATGTTGCTCCTTTCCAGATATGCTATTTAGCCATGAATTTACAAGATGAAGCACAGTGGTTGCTGGATTTGAACTAGAACAGAAGGCCTCTGAAGATAGAGGGATATGTTTACTAACAACAACAATCACAGCATTCAAGAGCATTCTAGAGCTCTGAATCTGAGCAGAAACAATTGGAATTACTAAATGCTAATGCCACTAAAACTTTCATTCAGAGCTTCACTGTAGCTCAATAAAAGCTTAGACTTAGGAATGCAAACATTTAACTAATTGCTTGTCCAGCATTTATGTAGCTGAAGCCCACATTTAGTGGGGCTTAGTCCTAAATATGTTTACATTGGCATCCTAACAAGTAAGCTAGTTTTTCATTTTCTCCATGTGCTTTTGTAAATGGTACTTGTTGCTGGAAGTAAGCACATGGAACACCCAGTTTAACTGGTTTTGCTCTCAGAAAGTCAATTCCTGATTGAGTAGATGGCAACCCAACGTTCCATTGGTCATGCAGAAATTTTGCCCTGGCTACAAATCTAAGCTGATCAAAGAAGTGACAAGAATAGAAAGAAAGCTCTACAAATAAGCAGTTTCGATTCAAACCTGATTAAATCTATTTTATAATCACATATGATAAAGGGCTACAGACATAAATGTATCTTAAACGTTACAAAGATACATTTCTAAAAATCAAGAGATTTAAATAATCAAATGGCCGTTTTGGTACAATGGTTAACTACCACTACCAGGCTAGAAACCTAAAACTGAACAAAAACAGTCAGCAACCATTCTCCTTTACTGCAAAGCATTCAAATAGTGAAGGTGCTGTAGTTACTATGATTAAGGTGCTGGTTTTCACTAGTGTTGTGTTGTTGCACCACAAAACTATCCAGTTATCTGTCTCCTATCAAGAGCTGGACATCGTAGTAAATTGTTAGGTCAATATAAATTAAGGAGTCGGCATGAAAAGTTTTAAAACAAGCAAAACTAGAGAAAATGTTACCAAGTTATTTGTTTTATAGGACTTCTCCGGGCAAGATTGCTGGCACGCTTTGACTATGGTATGTTCTGTTTCATGTAGAAGTTCCAGTTTATTAAAAGCTAGAAGGACGGTAGTATTTGCTGCTTTTATAAATTATTTACATTCAACAATTGTTTTAAATCTCAAATATTTTTTAGATGTCCTTGGTAGATTTGGGAAAGAAGCTTTTAGAAGCTGCTCGAGCCGGCCAAGATGATGAAGTTCGCATTTTGATGGCCAATGGAGCACCTTTTACTACAGATTGGGTAAAAACACCATTTTAAAAACAATCCACTTACCTGGATTTTCACATGTTTGGTGGTTTGTGTTTGCAGTGTTTATTTTGTTGGCTCTTTTCATGTCAAGGAAACTACACAGAGGTATGCATGTTGTCCTTAGGAAGCACATGTGATTCAAGGGAATTTTCATCTTTTCCTTCAGAAAATGGTTTAAATTTGAATGTTTAATAATAGGTATGAGGTACAGTGGACGAATTACGAGGTGAATAGGTGCTGATTAATCTGGACTTTTTAGATTATGTGAAATGTTTTAAGTTTATCAATGTAGGTGATAATTTAAAAAAATGAAATTCTGGTTCTGATTTCTGTCTTTCATTACTATTACTTTGTATATAGTTTTTGTTTTAGTTTGACCCTCAACAACTGCTTGGACAGATCCATGCTGTTTTCTTGGTAACATTTTTTAGAAGTGGCTTACCATTTTTTTCTTGCTAAGATGTCAGATCAAAATCACCTGGTGGTTTGTGCCTAGAGGACTAGACCATGATTTCCTGGTTTCTAACTTGCTGCTATTACACCAGTATGCCAAACTGGCTTTCCTTTATAACATATTAATATAAAAACACAGTGTGGTGGCAGAGTGATTCAAATGCAATCTAACTGCCAGGAGTTTGATCCTGGTTGACTCAGCCTTCCATCCTTACCGAGGTCGGTAAAATGAGGACCCAGGTTATTGGGGGCAAGATGCTGACTCTGTAAACCACTTAGAGCTGTCCAGCACTGTGGAACGGTATATAAATCTAAGTGCTATTGCTATAAAAATATTACCCTGTTATCATTTTTACAACATAACAGTAAAGTGAATTAGTTTGCTATTTATCGGTAGAGGCTTGCCAAAGTTCATGGTTCTTAGCCAGCAGGCTATACCATCTCACCTTCCTTCCCCCTTCAACTCTTTTCAGATTTGAATAACGTGATCATGGAGATACAAAATGCAGCCAGAGTGTCTTGGGTCAAATAAGTGCTTCTTGCTTTCATTAATTGTTCATCCAGATTAAGTTGGTGCCCAATAAGTTTATTTATTATTGAAATATTGATGATGTTCCACTTTTCAGTTGATAGTTTTTTTCTTAGATTGGTCATGTGTGGAAATATTGGTCATGGGCTGTGATAACAAGAAGGCAGATTTACTGTTCATATACAAAGTTGCTGGAACGTATTATCCAATTGCCCTCATTATTTAGTTTTTGCTAAAAAAAAAAAAGCTTAGTATTAAGTAGCAACTTCTGACATATTCTTCCCAAACTTCAAACCTTGGCTTAGAACTGGGATTTTAGAGTCCAGCCTTTTCGAGGTGGGGATAACTACTCATAACAACTCAATAAGTACTTTTTCTGGTTCTGTTTCCTATTTTGGGGAATCAGGTCCAATAGGACAACCCCCCCCCTCCCAAAAGGACAAGGTAGAATGCAGCAGCTCATCACGTTTTTTCAAAATATTGCCTTCTGGTTTTCATGAGCATGAAAAAATTGCTGGGCTAGAATGTAAGACCATCATAATCACTGTGAGATTTTAGCCATCATCAAATCATGATGATTGCATTGCTTGCCTGATGACTGCAACACTATGTTTAATTAAAAGAAAATGCAACTTTCCTTTAGAACTGGATATTTGTGAGATTGAGCAAAGCATTATTGTAAAGAAGAGCGAGCAGCTCCTGTCTAATTTAGGATGAAAGGAAAGATTATAGGAGAGGATTATAGGATTATGTAGAGCAAAGATTAGTTACTTCAAAGCAAAAAGTTAGGAAAATAATAAAGATTAAAAACATCCCAATACCCAAGAATTTCCATTTTTTTAAAAAAATAATAGTACCCCCAAAATGCATGTGGTATTTTTAATGTTGTTAAATAAGAGGATAATTATGTGCAAATATCTTCTGCTGCAGCTGGGAACGTCTCCACTTCATCTAGCAGCACAATATGGCCACTATTCAACGACCGAAGTGCTACTGCGAGCAGGAGTAAGTCGAGATGCAAGGACCAAAGTGGATAGGACACCACTTCACATGGCAGCTTCAGAAGGCCATGCAAGCATTGTAGAAGTTTTGCTTAAGGTAAAAAGATTTTGTTATTACTTATACTAGAGTTGAAATAGGACATACCAGTACTCATTGTTAATTGGTTCTGAGAGGCACGATCAGTAGCAAACAATTTTTTCCCATATGAAACGATGTAGTGAGTCACATGTCAGGTTTCTAAGTGATGAAATCCATTTTAAAAGAAAAGAGCAAAGTTCATCTTCCAAGACAATTTCTTTTATTTAGGAAAACATCAAATCGTCAAAGTCCGTGGTAATTCCAGATCGAACACAACCCGGAATTACCCCATAATATTAGAAGTTAGAAACAATCCCCAAAAGCCACATTCTCCAATAAAAGTAATTCAACGTTGCTTGATGTCATAAATCTCCACCTCAAGGGGCCTGAGCAGGGACAGGTCGTTTCCCATGGGAAGAAGAATCACCTAGCCTAAACAACTCTATCTCCACTCCTCCCCCACTTAAGAATGTGGCAAGCCTGAAACCCTTCCCCCCATGACTGCCAAAGAGAAAGTAAGAAAAAGAATATATACTAAGCCTAACTAAAATGGCTACACATATGACAATTTCGGGCTTGACAGGCTGCCCACCCTCATTTGAAAAGAAACCCCTGCAATGACATAAAATACACAGAGATTGAAATTAGGTTAAAGACAATCATACAATGAGCATTTTAACCTCCTTTGCATCCTCCTCACTGAAGACTTGAACCAGATCACGGTACTGGATTGGGATTTGGGGAATCCCTGGGTGTTGATCAGCCAATGATACTGTTTTATCCTCCTGACTTCCCGACACTGATAAGTTCTAGTTGGGGCATTGAGTACCGGGACAAAATTTTTGCGTCAAAATGAAAATTACAGATTTTCCTTTATTTCATCAGGCTAAAAATAGCACATGCTTTCTTATCGACATTATTTTTAGATGAAGAGATTCATTTTTGAAGGGAACAAATGACTGAAGCTATGCTGAGGGAGGCACACAAATCATCGCAGACCAGATTTTAATCTTCTGCTGTTTACTTTCCAAGATTAGCTGTTTTGAAAATGTGTCTGCCCAACAGTTCAAGGCAATAATAAATAAATTAATTACATTAATTATCTTCAGTATATTAACTTGGAAGAAGAAAACGGACAGCATAAACAAAGTTTAAAAGGAAGGGCACCGTTTTAAATATATATACTTGAAGTAATGCCGACTCTAAAATTAACTTTGGCTGCCTCTTTCCATTTGAAAAGAAATTTAATTGAATATGTTTTGTAGCATGGTGCAGATGTAAATGCAAAGGACATGCTGAAAATGACTGCTCTGCATTGGGCCACAGAGCACAATCATCAAGAAGTAGTGGAACTCTTAATAAAGTACGGAGCAGATGTCCATACCCAAAGTAAATTTTGCAAGACTGCGTTAGACATTGCCATAGACAATGGATATGAAGACTTGGCAGAAATTCTACAGGTAACTCAAAACTCACTATTTGTTAGGCTTTTCCAGAAATTTGCAGCTTAATCTCTAGGCCATAGTTCCCCAATGTTTTCCACTTTGCGGACTGACAGGGTGTGGCAGCAACATGATGGTTTGTGCAGGCGGCCGGCAAGTGCGCACGCAGCTCCATTTGCACAAGTAGCTTGCATGCATGCCTGTTGTTTGCTCGAATGGAGCATGCGTGCATGTGCTCACCCACTGCTCACACAAGTGAGGGTACATGATGCACAGGGGTGGGATTCAAATTTTTTAACAAGCGGTTCTTTGGCCATGGCTTAGTTCCAACTCAAAATCACTCATATCGAGGCACGCATCTCCTCACCTGGCCTCTCATGATTGTGGGGATGCTGCAACAGTCGTAAGTGTGAAAAATGGTCATAAGTCACTTTTTTCAGTGCCATTGTAACTTGGAATGGTCACTCCACACAAGCAAAGTGCCAGCAAAGGAGGGGAAAAAAACTCCAGGGAAGTTCTTGAGACAGGAAATCTAGTCCTGCCAAGAATGTAATAAGGGTTAACGGAGAGGCAGTTTCTCTAAGCAACACCAGAATGTTTCCTTCCTGCCTTCCTTACAGGATTAGGCCAGTAATTTCTTCTAACAACCGGTTCTCCGAACTGCTTAGAATGTTAACAACCGGTTCCAGTGAATAGATGCGAACCTGTAGAATCCCACCCCTGATGATGCACACTGGTTGGTTTTTTCCATGGCCCAGTTGCAAACCCCCCAGGTTGGGGACCCCTGCTTTAGGCTGTTGTGTTATGTATACAAAACCCTGCCCCTCCATCCTTGTTTCTTATATCATCATCCTATATTCCCTCTTCCTCTGTGTCTTGAAACTGATGCATTTATTCTGAATACTTTTCTGCCAGATATTTTTCCATGTTGAATATATATTAGTGAATAACAGTACACTGTGCATGAGCTATAGGTTACATTAAGCTGTTGACTGCTATTCTGTCTGAGATTTAATGTGTAATTTATGAACATCTGCTATGTACTATATTCATCCTAAAATACATTCCCCACCCCCAATAAGTGTAAAACAAAACACTGTTGTTGTTTTGGTCACAGATCGCCATGCAGAACCAAATCAACACGAATCCAGAGAGCCCGGATACAGTGACGATTCACGCAGCAACACCACAGTTCATCATTGGACCTGGTGGTGTTGTGAATCTAACAGGTGGAGTATTCTCTGCAATTAGTATCGCGTATGGCAGATACTCACTGTGACTGAGGATTGCAAATTGCTTGCTCACTCTATTAAATTGGGAATAAGGTCGTGCTTTCTTTATTCGCATCAGAAGCACTTTCAAGTTACAGATGTACAACATTCAATGCTGAGCAAGTAAAATAAATATAAAATAGGTCATAGAAATTTATATCATGCATAGAAAGTATGTAAAAGAAGATAGAAGATAGAATTCTTTATTGGCCAAGTGTGATTGGACACACAAGGAATTTGTCTTGGTGCATGTGCTCTCAGTGTACATAAAAGAAAAGATACATTCGTCAAGAGTCATGAATCATAAGGTACAACGCTTAATAATAGTCATAGGGTATAATAAGCAATCAAATTATTCTAGGAAACAGTCAATATAAATCGTAAGGATACAAGCAACAAAGTTATAGTCATACAGTCACAAGTGGGAGGGGATGGGTGATAAGGAGTGATGAGAAGGTTAATAGTAATAGTAGTGCAGACTTAGTAAATAGTTGAACAGTGTTGAGGGAATTATTTGTTTAGCAGAGTGATGGTGTTCAGGGAAAAATAGTCCTTGTGTCTAGTTGTTCTGGTGTGCAGTGGTCTATAGAGCCGTTTTGAGAGTAGGAGTTGCAACAGTTTATGTCCGGGATGTGAGGGGTCTGTAAGTATTTTCACAACCCTCTTGCAGTATACATGAGTATATAATATATATGTGCAAAGTACATACGATTAAATTTAAATGACATTTGTCCAGCATTGGGCCACATCGATAGCATTTTATCTCACCAGTGTTAGGATGTCCTCCGTACATGTTGAAAGTGATCATGTGCACCTTCCCATATGTGAGATGGATTGTTCTCCATATTCACATACAGTTGTCTTTTATAGGGAATCCCCATTTTCTTAGATTGATCTTCCTACTCCATTAGCAATTTCCATACAAGCCACAGTTGTTCTTGATCAGGCAGCAGACAAGTTGTTTGGTTGTGTCCAGTTGCCTGGTAGCTCCTTGTGCTCCTAGATCAGGGGTGTCAAACTGGCGGCGTCATGGCGGCATCATGTGATGTATCGTGACTTTCCCCCCTTCGCTAAACCGGGCATGGGTGCGGCCAGCATGTGACACATCCGGGCCGCGGCCCGTGAGTTGGACACCCCTGTCCTAGATTGTGCTAAAAACGTATCAGATATGTCCTTTCTTTTGCTACTGTTGTCATCTTCTGGATTGTTCACGTGGGCTCAAATGGCATGGGATGAGTTTAACATTGTCTAAAGTTTGGTTTGGGCCCACCGTTCGATGTCAAAGCACTTTCCCTATTTGTTTGTTTCTGTGGAATTCTGCTGGTGCCACTCACTTCAGTTTATTTCACTTGAGACTACTTTTGCCTCCTGAAGAAGAATAAATTTGTGCTTGCTTCTGAGCTGAATGAGGTCTGTTTGAACAAGAGTTTTAAGGATTATATCATTCTGATTTTGGGGGGAAAATTATTTCAAATGTAATGGGCGAATAGATTTATGTGACCTTCTGATGTGATTTTATGGGTTGTGTGTTTATAGATGACAGTGGAGTGTCTGCTGTCCAGTTTGGCAATTCCTCAACTTCAGTTCTGGCAACTCTGGCTGCCTTAGCAGAAGCCTCAGCTCCACTGTCCAACTCATCAGAAACTCCAGGTGAGGAAAAATAAAATAAATCCAAAAAATAAGGTTTTGTAGTAAAAAAAAAAACCCTAAGGTTTGGTTTACAGTCCAGTTTTCAGCATTGATGTAATATCATATTTCATTGGAAATTTGTTTTTTTAAGCTGGGTGTTGTTTTTTTCTCTTGTGGCATACTTGCAATAAAAACAGACTTAAGTCATCGAATTTCTTTAGCCCAAGAACAAAAGGGATAAAATTTAATGAAAAAGAAGGCATTTTTTTATTTCCGAGAAAAAACATTAGTGGATTATGAGTCAGGTTCATTTTAAGACAAGTAAGCCTTGTTGTGACTTCTGAATTTGCTTCCTTAGCCAGTGTTGCCTCCTTCTGCAGTCTAATCTGTAGAAGGAAGATCAGACTTCTACGCAGAGCAAGAAAGCCAACTGCCTTGGCTTGGATCCCTATTTGCTATAAAGAAATATATCAATTGACTACTCTCTTTCTCTGGAAGGTTTGGGAGAGGGAGAAAGCATTGACAGTAAATATTTAGTACCAAATTGTTTTGTTTTGAAAAGAAGGTCTTAGATATCTCTCTATCATTTGAGATTGACCCCTTGGGTTAAAAAGGAGAAAACCTGAATCATGTTTTGCCTGCAAATTTTTGTGACGTGTTGATTGCAGCATTTATGGAGGATTGTTTCATCTGTGTAAAAGATCACAGTGCCATGTGGAGAGCTTTTCCTCCCGAAAAATATTCCTGACCTTAATTTATTGAAAGCTTTTGTATCGCCTGCTCCTGAGTAGCTGACATAAGATCAATAAATACGAGACAGTCTCTGCCCGCAGGCTTAGAAAGATGAGAAAAACAAATCCATATACAGAATGATTGACTAGAATGGAAATACTCCAGGCAGGTAAAGGAACTGATTCTTTAACACAGCCTGTTGTGTTTCCTGCATGTCCCTTTTTTGCAGCCTGTTGCAAAATGCTGCCAGGTGACTGTTGAGGAAAGGAGAAGGCAGACGGAGCTAATGAACAATCCTGCAAACCCATAATTCCCTCTAGTAAATCACAGTGCAAGTGGGAATACGTCTTTATGATCATTTGCTTTCCAGATTTTGGTAGAAGGGACTAATTGGCTCTGTTGGCTGTGTTAGCACAAAGAAGTAATGATGATCTCAGAAGTTCTGGGAGCCAGCCATAGCAAGCACATTTATATGTCTCTCTGCTATGGCATAAGTTTGTTTTTCATAAAATCCCGAGTTTTACCATTATTCTTTCAATAATGGCAGAAATATGCCGCAAGCAAGAATTGCAGACCACGATTGAGTAATAACATCACTGTAAATAAGGAAGCAATCATGGCAAAGATGAAAGCGCTCAAATTTTATGTGATGCCTGACATTTCTGTCATAAATCATACACCATAGCTTTTGAAAAAAAGCTTTTTTTATTGTCCATTTGATTGTTGATAAACTTCAAAGGCTTGCTCTTAATATACTATTGTACGCATGTAGATGTAGCTCTTGAAACTGATACTGGTAGGGATATACTTTATATTTTAGGTTCCTTGCATTAAAACCTAAGAGGAACAGAAAAAATGAACTCAACAAATTAGAACATAAATTCCCAGAGCCTAGGGGAAAATTCATAATGAGTGTTCACATGGTATCTGAAAGTCAAATAACATCATTTGTTTTTTTTTCTGTTAAAACTCTTTGTGAATTTGTGCAACTTGTATTTTACTTGTAAAGATGTTGTTGAATTAAAAGACTTAATTTCTGGAACTTCTAGGTACCTCATTTCCAATATTCGGGGTGAGGAATGTTGTATAAGTAATAAAAAAAGGAAACACTTAGATATAAGATTGAAATAAGGATGGTGCGATTGCTTGGGCTACTTCTACAAAGCAGTAAACTCACAACATTTTGCAGAAGCACAAAATAATTTAGCAGAGAAAAGGTGGGGAAAAGATTATCCCCAAAATCTAGTGAGGATGAGTAGGCTTGGTTGCATAGAAGAGGGACCAGCTGATGGGGGAAAAATGCAATAGAATGGAGCCTCTTATAAAAGATACTTATACTGACTCCACTGGAATAGTAAACAAGAGCAGTCCATACTGCCATGTTTTCATGAGGTCCTACCTCTACATTTTTTTTTAAAAAAAGCAAGCTTGCTTATATACGTGTCAACTCATAAAACATTTTGTATACACGTTTTATAGTTGACAACAGAAAGAAGGAGGGGGAGTTTCAAAAAGCAGGCAGCAGTGTGGAATCGAAAGTACATTCCATTCATATTTTCTTCAAAGACTGATTAGATGACTGAAGCTTCTGCCATGCAAAAATCTAATTGGAGAGCATGATTGATGATTCTTGGCTATGGACATTTTTTGTTGGATGATACACCCAGAGGGGTGGGGGGGAAAGCAGGATCAAGGGTGACAGTGAATTACACACCTCAGAGTTGGCTACGCCCAGGTAAATGCCGGATGTAGAATGTTACCTTCAAATAAATCTTTTTTAGTTTTGGGAGTGTGGCTCGAGGCTCATGATTTAATTGGAGTAACTGCCGGAATCCTGACAATAAGTTTCATTTATTCATTTGTTTGAAAGTTGTGGCTACAGAAGAAGTGGTGACTGCCGAATCTGTGGATGGTGCAATTCAACAAGTCGTTAGTTCTGGAGGCCAGCAGGTTATCACCATAGTAACAGACGGGATACAGCTTGGAAATCTTCATTCCATTCCCACCAGTGGAATGGGTCAACCCATTATAGTGACCATGCCAGATGGGCAGCAAGGTAAGTAGAAACCAGGAACAGAACTTTTAAGACCTTTTTTTTTAAAAAAATGAAAAACATATATTTAAATTTAATTATTTTATATCCTGCCTTTATTATTTTTATTGACAACTCAAGGTGGCCAATGTACTGAATTCTTCTTCCTCGTCCTATTTTGTTGGTTAAATTCAAGTTAATATCATGAAAGCCCTTCAGAGAAAACCGATAATGAAGAATAGGATTGGGTGTAATGTGAAGCACTGTGGAGGACACTTATGAATGGGGCGAAAGAATTCCACATTTTACAGTCTCATTTCTGCCCATGGAATCACGACACAACAAAACTAGTTATAAGGGCTGTGCACAGCTTAAGCGTTATTCCAAAGAATTGCTTCACGATTTCCTGAATCATATCGCTTCTGCTGTTCATTAAAGCAGCCAGGTCTTTTAATGGTTTTGTTCTACCTTTATTATTTAAAAAAAAGATAACTCAAGGTGATGAATATATCTAATGCTCCTTCCTCCTCTGAGATAGAGTGACTAGCCCTAAATTACCCACCTGGAGCCTGCGAAAAGATAATGAACTGATTCATTACAAGAGGCTAGGCGTTGTCTTTAGCAAGAGAGTTAGGCTAGATACACAAGTTCTCTTCCAACTCATATATTCAATAAACAATCTGTAATAAATCTATCTCCTTCTATCCCAGGATCCAAATGCAACCACTGTTAACATCTGTAGTTTTTGATCCAAACTTATTTCAATTCCAGTACTTACAGTACCAGCCACAGACATTGCAGAAGAAACAGTAATCAGCGAAGAGCCTCCAATGAAGAGACCATGTATCGAGATCATTGAAAATCGGGTGGAATCGGCAGAAATAGAAGTAAGGAATCTGTTAGCTGAGACGTTTTATTCTGATTTTCTAAACCAAATGTTTCTTGTTGTCTTGCTTTATAATTTTTTTTTTTTGTACTTGAAGAAAGTAAGGAATATATGACTGCATCTTACATTTCTTTTTAAGATACAGGTAGCCCTCAGCTTATAATTGTTTAGTGACCCTTTTCACATTAGAAACGGCACTGAAAAAAGTGACTTATGACCATTTTTCACACTTATGACGGTTGCAGCATCCCCATGGCCAAGTGATCAAAGTTCAGGAGTTTGGCAACTGACTCACATTTATGACGGTTGCAGGGTCATGTGATCCCCATTTGCAACCTTCTGACAAGCAAAGTCAATGGGGAAGCCAGGTTCACTTAACAACTGTGTTATTAATTTAACTACTGTAGTAGTTAACACTTAACATTTCTCCTCTTAAAAATGAGTTTAGATGAAACACCTAAATTCTTCTGAGTATTTAGGATCATACATTAAATTCCAGTTAAACTAATTTATTGTTCTTGCCTGTACACAATAATCTAATGAACTAGTGGTTGGCACTAAATTGGCGCTAGACAGGGGTGGGATTCTACCCGTTTGGATCAGTTTGGGCAAACTGGATGTTAAAAGGTGCAGCTGGTTCGCCGAACTGGTATTTCAAATGACCGTCTGGCCCCTCCTCTCCCTGGGGTCTCCACGCGGCCCATTTTTGATGGGGGTAAGTGCATGGAGGCTCTGGGAGGGGGAAAAACAGGCCTTCTGGGAGTCCGGAAGTCCAGGCCTGTTTCCAGTTTCCAGAAGGCCTCCAGAGGTGAAAACGGCCTCCCCCGGGCCATTTTGAATCCCACCCCTTGCGCTAGATAATTGCTAACTGAATTCAAGACAGGTTGGACTTAGACCTTTTGTGACAACATAACAACTCCAGGCTAATTCCCCTTTTGACTCTAACGCCAGGCTCTGCCTGTTCTTCTTTTACATTGTATTAGTGCAGTTTGGCTGGGATAATGTGAAAATAAGTATGAAAGAATTTGAAATAAGGGGGCTGGGGAAAAAAAAAACACCTTGCTAAGAATGATAACATGATACTTAGATAGATGGAATTCCTGTTAAACTCAGTTAGGCTTGGAACATGGTTAATAAGAGAAGGAGAAAGTAGAGAGAAGGGGAAGGGAAAGAGATTGAGTTTTTGCCTCCTTATTCCATTGCAGTAAAGCCATGGACAATTCTTTTAGTAGTACCTGATGATTACAATGGAAGGACTGACATTCATTGGTTAGTGAAAGCGTGGAGGTTTAAAAAAAAGCTTTTGCTGTGTAAAGGTCAGAACAAAGTGATTCTGAGACAATTTTTTAAATAAAGCAGGTATGCTGCTTTTTACATCAGTTTGTTTAAAATGGTTCAGAAGAGGGGGAAAAAATCACTTGCTTTGAACTGAATTTGTCTTTTTTTTTAAACTACAAAGTTGTTCTGCTTCATCAAATAAAAACACTAGATGGTTTTGCTTTTTTTTTTTTAAAGATCAAGTTCCAGTAGCATCCTTTGAAAAGGATGGTCCCACAGCAATGATATATTCTATGAGTAATCTCTTTCCTCTCAGAAGTTTTACTGATATATTATTCCAAGGAGCAGAATGTATATACATGATTCATTTTCCCTTACTAGGCTTGAAGTTTAACATTTACCTCGCTCTCCAGTTCTTTAAAAGCTGCTTATTTCTTTGTAATTGGCCAAATGGAATCTACATTTCAAAGTCAAAATAACATATGTAATTATTTCTTCCCAGAATATAAAACAGCTTTAGAACAGTTTTAATGTTGACACTGTTTTTGTACAGAGTATTTTTTTTAAGACTTGGTTTCTAAAGTCACAACTCAAAAGAGCCTCTAATTTGGTCTCTTCCAGAATTCTTGCAGCTGATTTCTTTTTGAAATGAAAAATGACAAAACAGTCCATTCCCTTTGAGGGGACACCCCGTTAACACGATGCTTGTTTTGATTGACTTTCATAGGAAAGAGAAACATTACAAAAACAGATGGACGAGGCTAACCGAGAAGCCCAGAAGTATCGCCAGCAGCTTTTGAAGAAAGAACAAGAAGCAGAAGCTTGTCGGCAGAAGTTGGAGGCGATGAGCCGCCTCCAGACTAGCAAAGAAGCTGTTTGAGTGAATGAAGTGAGCATTCTTAGTATATATACAAGATAAGAAAACCGCAGTACAATCTGGCTCTGCATAACACATTACTGTAGGTGCAGAACTGAGATTCTTTGTCAAAGAAGACGCTACTGGACTTAAGCCATGAGCTCTGGTGATTTTCTTGTATCATAAAAACAGAAAAGAAAAACCAACCTCAGAATTTAGACATTTTTGTGCAAACTATTTAAAAAAAAAAAAAGAAATACTGTAAATAGTTGTTTTTTTTTACAGTTCCAAAATTAGTTGTTTAATCTTTTTGGAAGGAAATCCACAAACCTGCAATGCCAATGTTTTTGTGACATTTTTTTTTTCTTTTTGATTTTACTATGAATCTTCTGAGATACAGAACAGTTTTAAGGAGGATAACTGTTGATTTAAACTGCGCTGTGTTAAATGAATTATGTGACAGAACCGAGCTTGAAAGTTATGAATTAGATCTCTTGACTAAATTTCATTTCCTGATTATTATTGTTATCCTTTGTACAGCTTTAAGGAGTTGGCCAAGGCCTCCGAACAATACCCCCTCCCCTTTTTTTAGGGAAGAAAAAGTGTAATTTTTTATATTTAATTCCTGATATATTCAAGTAGATTGACATGTATATGAAGCTGATATTTTTAAAAATTTTCAGTTTGTACATATGCTGCATGTTTTTTTTTTATGATTTCTATATACATCTTCCATAAGTATTTTTCAGGAAAGAGGATGGAAAATTATGATTAAAAAAAAACAAAAACCTCTAGGTCGGGAGCGGGTAACCATGGCAACTTTACGCCCCGTGGACTGCAACTCCCAGGATTCCTGAGCCAGGCTTAGGAATTCTGGGAGTTGAAGTCCACAAGTCGTAAAGTTGCTATAATTGCCCAGCCCTGCTCTAGGTCATGAGGGTAGGTGGTGGATGAAGAAGCCAGTGAATAACCGTGGGTCGATCTTTTTTCTTTTATATCGGGAGCCACATTTCTTAGAGGGATGTAACTTGGGAGAAAAAAATAAAACAAAAACCAGTATTCATGTAATATATTAAGTATATGAAAATATTACCCTTAGTGCAGCCAATCATATTTTCAGGGTGACCAGCCAAGCCGGGCTGGGATAATTCTGCAGATGGAGAAAAAATTTCAAGTCCTTTCCCCCAAAACTCTTAAGCTTAACCTCTCCCCCTACTATGCTGCCACCTGCTGGACAGGTTGTTAACGCTCACCTCACAGCACCCCTCCGTTTCCCCCCCAAATGCAAATTCCAGATGCTGCAAGGATAATAGGCTGATATCTGGAACTGGAGCTCAGGATGTCCTTCAAGAAATGTGTTGGTAAATGGCACACAAGTGTCCCGTCTCTCACAACACCTTTAATCTGACTAGCCACCTGACAGCAGGTACCGATGACCCGGCCTCCTAAAACAGTTCACAACACATGCCCCACAAAGGCTTTATCACCTGCTAGAGATTGTCAAAAAAATAATAATTAAATAAATAAAAAGGAAGTGAAAGGAGTTAATTTGAAGACAGAGGTCTGGAAATGGCATCTCAGCACCCTTCTCCAAGGGGACATCCCTCAAAAGCGCTGAAGGTCATGAGGTTGGAGAGAGGAAATTGGGCAATCAGCTTTTTAAGTGACTGCTCACCCTCCTCTCCATGATTGTGGCTGCTGTATACCGATAGCCTAAAACGTAAGAAAGTTCGAGACAGTTACTGGGTTCATCTCTGTCACAACGTTCCTACTTCGTCTGCAAAAGGAACAGGGGTAACTGAAAAGTCTGAAGTCCTCGCGTGTGTTTTATCTAGAAGCCACCTAAAGCAAAACCCACATTTTCTCTGCTGTGCCGCCATCCCTGGGACCTCTGCTCTCCCTTCTTCCAACAAAACTTAGAGAGGAAATGCTCCTTTTTCATATTTGTGCCCATCGTCTCAATCTTAACAGTATCACATAGGTGCATGTAATTGTCACTTGTTTTATCTGCACAACAACATTTTAAGATTGTCCTAAATCATGACTTGACCTCTAGGGGCAGATTTGTGTGGCAGTTGGGTTGTTGCCTTCTGTTATCTTGGGACAGCACTGATTATGTTTTAGTTTGCGTGGTCTTCAGGGAGACAATTGTTAGCATTTCTGGTGAATGGTGTTTTAAATTTTTCAGTTTTTACCTGTCTTTCCTCTCTCCTCCCACGCCATCCAGGTTTATTGGTATTCAGCGCGCACATTTGCTAACCAGTATGATCAGCGGTTATATCTGCTGGAGATTGATGTAGAGTTCGAAGTCTGCCAGGGTTGAACTACATTCAGTTGGGAAGGAGTGGTTTAGGTCTGCAAAGTATTGTGATAATACACCAAGGAGTTCGGAAGGCAACCCTAAGTACCATTACAGATGAAAAGTTTACTGTTAAAAGAAATAAGGGTGTTTTAGACCTTAAACTTTAATATATCCTCAAAATAATAGGTAAGTAAGCACTTAGTTCCCTGCTGGACTTCAGGCCAGAACAAATGTTATGGGACCTATTAAAGGTTTCACAGCTGAGTCTTGCTCTGCCGATGGAAAGGAATGAAAGGTAGATAATAATTTTAGATGGGATTTGAATACAAGGAGAAAAGAGATGGCTCTCCTCCCCCTAATCCTGTCTTGTGTGAGCTTTGCAAATGTAAGGGAATATTTATAAAAAAATATTTCCTTCTTTGTCAGTCACAGTTGTTGTAGTTGACTGTATCTTTCCTGCTGCAAATGTTGACCTATAGAGAGCCAAGAACACTCAGGCTTTCGTTGGCTTTCGGATAATTCACAGACCATACTGCCTTAAAGATTACCAAGTGCTACAAACGCTTTTATCCTTTGTTCAGAGTACCGTGCAGCTCCTTTATTTCCATGTATACCTTGTATTTTTGATTTGTGCTTTGCTGTGTTTATCTTTCAGTGCTTTTATGAAACGTATGAACTTTATAAATCATCTAGATTACCTATACAGAAGAATTGCCCTTAAAACCTGTCTTTGGCCTACCTTTTCTATTTACAATTAAATATCTTTTCCACAGATGCGGGGTTGATTCACTTATTTTGCAAAACGTTATCCACCCGGGTGGTTTCTTCTATAGCACGAATTGTTATGAAAGGTAGCTGTTTGGATTTTTAAGAACTAGAGACACGTAGTGAAATACATGGGCTGGGAGATAGCTGCATCAGAACAGCTATTAGAACAGTTTATAGTCTACATTGGAGATTTCCACTCTAGTCGTCGAAGGGCAAAATGATTCTTCCAATAAGGCGTCATCTTTTGCTATTTTTTTTTTTGCTATTTTATAACTTCAGCATTATTTTAAAGTAAAAAAATAAGTTGCTGAATTTAGCACGGAGACTCAGAAAATGTGAGAAGTTTGGGAATAGATTGAAAAGGCTCATGTTCCAGTTTCTTACAACTTTAGTCCATCCAAACCTGTGGACTTCAACAGAAGGTTTTGTTGATTGTAACAATAGTTATGGGGCTGCAAGCCCATCACTTACCTGAATAATAGCCCTAACAAAAATGCCCAAAATGAAAGAAAAAACAAGGACAAATAGGCTGAAAAACAGCTTCTATCCCAGGGCAGTAACTCTATTGAATTTTACTGTATAGCACACTGAAGATGGTATTTAATTCTGTTGTACGATGTGCAATGATAATAAAGTAAACTAAACTAAATCACTTAAACACCTCAACTGGGGTTGCCACTAAAAGGCTCGCTCACTGGAAGGATCTTGAAACTGGATCACCCTTGCTGCTGTGTCAACTACAAATGTTGGAGCACCCACAATTTGACTTGTGACTCCAGAATAAGGCATTGTTACCATATATTTTTATCAATAGGGGTATCAGTAAAATGAAAAGGGAATTTTCCAGGAAGGATGTATTTATTACTCATATGCTACTCCATTTCTGAAGACATTTAAATGGTTTCTGAGTAACAAAAAATAACCCAGGTTTTTCTTCTCCTTTGCCAGCAGATGTTCAAAAGATACTACCTTGATACCAAATGGAAGGAGCAGGGTTGGAAAAAAAACCTCAGATAGGTTTTGTTGGGCACAGCAATTAAATATGGGTCCATTGGTGAAAAAGAACCCCCTCCAATTTGCATTTCTGACCTACTAAAATGAAGCTGAGTTGCATCAGCATTTCAAAATGCCACAATTTTGACAAATAGGGTAGTTGGAATAAGTTTAACCAGCCTGCCAACCATTGGGTATGATTATGGAACACATCTGTATTTGTTGACTCATGAGTTCAGTTTTTGAGGATTAATACACCTGATCAGAATTTGAGCTACCAATCAATATCCTCCATCATAACTTACTTCAGCATTACAACTATTTCTGAAACGGAAAGGAAAATAGATCAAATTTATCAGAAACAAGACGGCTGTTTCAGTGAAGTTTGTTTGAGACCAACAAATACCTATTTCTCCAGAGAGAATTGAGTCATTTATGACACATGGACTTTTTCCCACGGTTTTGACGATATGGCTTTCTCTTCGCACTTAACCAACATACTATTTCTATTCATTCCGTCGCCTTTGGGTAAATACATTTTTCCCCTTCGCTTCCTACCTACTGGGTCTAAGAGGAAGATAACTATAACCAAATAGTCATTTGCATCAAATTGTATTTGCTCACTCTGCCATTTCAAGCTCTCCAAGCCCTTTTGTTTCCTGTCTGAACACAGGTTGGAGTGTGTTTGCTCACCTCTTCAATTAGTGTACCATTTCGGAAATAAGGCAGGATAAATAGTAAATATGATGATCTATGACTTTCCTTTCAAAATCTTTTGAAAGGACTAAGAGGAAGCCTGAGGTACTTTCAGCAATCAGTTCTGAGTTTCAGAAGTGGGTTTCAGACTGTTGCTCCAACCCTGTTCCCTTCCCCCCGCATTTTTACAAAAGTTCTGAAACATTTCTAGTGCTTTACAGCCCTCTCTAGGCAGTTTACAGTGCCAGCATATTGCCCCCAACAACCTGGCTCCTCATTTTACCAAACTTGGAAGGATGCAAGGCTGATTCAATCCCGAGCCGGTGAGAATTGAACTGCAGGCAGTCGGCAGAAGTAGCCTGCAGTACTGCATTCTAACCACTGCGCCACCACGTCTTATCCATGATAAGGATAATCTTAAGTAGAATATGAAATATATAGATCACTGTTCTACACTATGGCTTACCATTTGTGTGGAGCTACCGGATCAACATTGAGGAAAATCAGACGACTGTTTACTTAGCAACAATAACCAAAAAAAAACCTAACAACAACCATGTTCTATTTCTTGTCTTTTGGATTTTGTAGGCCAGCAACCTTAGGTAGCCCTAGTGTTGTCTGGACTCTGCCAGTTGCAGTTTATGAACTAATCTTAATGTGATATGTGAGAGCAGTCTGCCAACCTAAGTTAAGGTTATATAGACAAGTCACAAAACAAGCCCTTGCCTTAAATAAAGTCCTAATTAAACCTATTAGTGTATAAGTCGATGCATGTTGGGTCACCCTGTGCATAAGTCCCTTGCAAGTGAGGCTCTGTTTTCTTCTCTGGAATTCACCTGATTTGTGTGCGTCCATGGGTATATGTTACAAAGCCCACGGATAAAAAGCAAGTTGCTTAAAAAAAAACATCAATCCAAAAGTGAAACAAAACCCCATTTCAAGGAAGGACGAAGCTTTTCTGCTGCTTGTCTTCTTCCACTCTTCTGTCTGCGGAGATTCTCAGTCATCCAGGTCATGATTGCTCATGGTACTTTGGGATGAGCACCCTTGAATTGGTGTGGAGTATAAAATGGATTTCCAGAAAGAGAGAAAAAAAAGCAGAATACAGGATTCAGGTGACCCTGAAGGCACAGATAAATCTCCAACGAACTCTCAGAAAGAGGGCTGATGACCAGATGAATGCAAGGAATATAAATCCTTCCGCTCTCCACCATTCAGTCAGAAGTGAAGAAACTTCTTGGATGAGAAGTGAAACGTCTTCAAGCAGAACAAGAAAGTCCAGTCGTCTTTTGCAAGAAAGCACCTTTGGGACTTCCAACCTTCTGTTTTCAAGATCACCATATTATGGTACCATGACAATCACATGGCATAATTTGCTGCCAAATTCTCACTTGCTGGGTATCTAGAAAAAACAGAAGTCTGCAATGATAGATATATATATTCTCTCTTTCTCCTCTTTTTTTCCCCACAGCACAATGCACGTATGTGTGTGGAGCTGTGTTGCTTACCTAAATACCAGAGAACATACCATAAATAAATGTGTGGTCAACTTACCGTCTCTTACATGTGAACTCAAGGTTTAGCTTCTCAGCTAGAATTCAAGAATCTCACCATTCTTGATCTGCAGATGTCAGAATAGAAATCTACAACAAAACCTCTTTCTTCTTTAATTTTCTAAAGTTCTCAATTGTTCCAGCCCAGGATCTATACCAAAAACATCAATCAATCCCACAGTCAGTCTTTTCTTTATTCTAGCTCTGCTTTCACTTTCTAAGTTTCTTACTTTGTTTCAATATTTCTTTAGTGTTATATCCACACAAGTTCATTCAGAAACAGATGCTTTTCCTTTTGTTTGAGCTCAAGTTTTTGTCAAAAGGTGGCACTCTCCATTATACAGAGTCTTCACCTTTTCCCCCTATTTTTTTATTTAGGGTTTTTCGATCCTCAATATTCCAACACAGTCCAGTCTCCAATTTGTAAACTTTATTATTTTTGACAATCTTAAGTCCAGCTTTATTTTATGCCTGTTTATTCCCAAAACATTTTAGTCCAATTTAGTTAAATCTTTAGTTCCAGCTTCTTCCTTTCCCGATTCGAAGCCCCGCTTAGCTGTCAAAAATATTTTCTTTTTTTTTTTCCTGTCCCTTTGTAATTTCGCCGCTCACTTTTCTTTTCTTAAAAAATTCATGTTACCTTAATTCCGGGGTACTTTTGTTTAGTTGTATTGCCCAGTTGTCCCGGTTCAGATGTTATCCACCTCTTTCTTCCCTCCTGCACAAAGCTTAATCCAGCTGAGTCCTCCTCTTCGGGGTGGCCATTTTAAACCACCGCTGCAGTCGTCTTCGGGGGGGAAAAGACCAAGCCCAGGAGGGGAGCTGCAGCTCCCCTCACCCTGGCTTGCGCCTTCCCCTTACTCCGCCGCCCCTCCAAAGCTGCTTCAGCCCCTAATCGTAATGATTGGGGCTCTCCAACGAAAGAGCATGGACCATAGCCGCAGAGAGAATAGATCTACGGTCTGTCAGCGAGGAGGCTCCGTCTTCTTCCAAAAGAAAGAAAGAAAGAAAAAGTGGTTTTTTTGTGGACTTTAACGATCATAAAAAACAAGAGTGTGTAATGATGATATCTCTTCGGGAATTAAAAATGGAACTTAAAAATATGAGAGAATTACTACGGGAAAGAGGCGAATCACTTTGTTCTGTGTTAGAAAAAATGGAAATGGCGATTGAAGAACAAGAAGAAAGAGCTTCAGAGGAGGAGGAGTCGACTCAAGGAGAAGACATCTTAAATAGACAATTAACACAAAGAACGCTACAAAGAAGTGGGGAAAGAAGGAAGGCTAAAAAGTTGAGACTTAAGAAGGCAATCAAAAGGGGGAATGCCTGTGAAGTCGGGAAAGACAGACCCAGCAGAAAATGGGAAAGGAAGATATTAAGAAAGAGAGGGATATAAACTGGAATGAGAAAAGATATGGGGAAAAGAGGGGGAGAAGCAGTAAGAAACAGGTGCATGAAATAAAGAAATACAGAAATAGTAAAATGTTGAAAAGAAATTGTTTTTTCAGAGATAATGGTTGATGAATTAAAAAGGGGATTCTGCAGGGTGACAAGGGGTAATAATAATATTTCTGCAATTAAAAATATTTAGAAAATAGGGTAATATAGATATTGATAACTCATTAAAAATTAAGGGGGGAAAATATGCTGTGGAATCCAAATGAAACGATGTAATGATTATTATTGTAACTTAAAAATAATGGTTTATTGGGAATCAAGATGCGGGAATAAAGGTATATTTTAACCATTGAGGTG